TATTATAAATAAAAAATTAATGCACCTGCAAAATAACATTTGTATGTATATATATATATATATATATATCTTTATTGAGAAGAACAACAGTAAAAGGGTTTAGTGTTGTTATTATTTTAAGTTTGTTTTATTTAAAAGAGTGAACAAACATAATTTGCTTAAAGAAAGAAGATTACAAAAATACATAAGTTTATTTATTATATCTGCTATTGTGCAGCTATATAACGTGAGAAATTGAATAGTGGCCATTGACACTTTTCTTCACTTCACCAATCCTAAGTATAGGTTTTTTTCATTGTGACTACAAAGCACATTCACACCAACAGTATGTTTAATACATAATGAAACCATTTATTCCTCAAATAGTATAATGATTTTACTTTTCTTTCACTTATTTATTACTTTCATTAATTCCTAGTTTTGCTTCTTTACAAAAATCATTAATCTAACAGCAAAAAAGTTGTTATATTTCAAGTAATAATTAATGTGCATTTGAATATAGCAGTTAGTGAAAGTAAACAGTAATTTTAGACCAAAACGTTGTGTGAAAAATGTAGTTAACAAGTTGAGTGCAGATAATTAAGAGGTTTTATGAACAATGTGCCAAGTGAACTTGAGTGAATGATGTGATTTTAATGCACTTGAAATAATTTTTTTTTAAATCTGATTTCAATGTAACTATTACATTGGAACATCATCCTTCATTTGAGTTCTTTGCAAGTTTTTCTGTATAAACCTTTTCTCCAAGAAAAGTGAGAAATGTCTTTCTAGTAAAATATTGCTGGTAGATTTTATTATACTTGCTATTATATGTAATGTTTGAGTTGTAAACAATTCTTAATGCTATTCTATAACTTCTAGGTGGTTGCAGAGATGACAACAACTGTCCATACAACAAAGTTTGTAGCAGTGGCCAATGTTTAAATCCTTGCTTGCTTCCTAATATTTGTGGACAAAATGCTGAGTGCCAACCAATCAATCATGAAGTAGCATGTAGCTGCCCAAAGAATATGATAGGCAGTCCTGTTATCAAATGTTCTCCAAGTTAGTAAACTGAAGAGATATTTAAACAATACACAGTACTAACTAATTTGATCTGTTAATTGCTCAACTTAATTGCTGTCCACTTTTTGACGTTTTAAAGAATTTCTAAATATATATAGTTATTTATTTCATGTTGTAATGCTTCAAACCTCAGAAAAGTTATATTTGTTTCCAATTTGGATTGTACCTAAGGATTTTTTTAAATCAGTGATATTCTTACATGTAATTAGATCTAATTTAAATATCATACTTTTCCTGTGAATAAACTGTTTTGCTTATAATTTTACAATTACATACAGCTATGTAAACAAAAAATGTAGCCTAGAGGTATGATTATGAAAGAAAATTCTGATTGGAATAATAAGATACTAAAATCTACTCTCATTCTAAAATCTGTTCTCATTAAATTGAGTTTCTAACTTATTTCTTTAGAAGTTTACAACACTAGAAACCAGGTTTCGATACCCGTGGTGGGCAGAGCACAGATATCCTATTGTGTAGCTTTGTGCATAATTACAAACAAACCAACAAATGTTTAGAAGTTTCAAACTGGTGTCTTAAGGATAAGAATGTTGTGATACAGTTTAGATATAACTTAATTATCAGTAAAACTGGGAGAGCACAAGGCATTGTTTGATTTTTATTATAAAACTTGTAAACATGTATTCTTTTATGCTTAAGTCTACTGTATAATAACTTGGATTATCAAACCAACAGTGCCTTTAAATCATGAAATGGTTAAAGTAGTTAATATGTGTTAAATACTATAATTATTGTTCATTATACTTTTAAGATTTCTAATGTTGGATCCAAAACAAGGCCCCTTCACACAAAATTAATTTAATTTAGTGTATATTTATAAAAAATACTAAATTATAATCTTTTCTTAATTACAAGAAAAACTACTGCAAAATTTCTAGTTAAGAAAATGATAATTTATATTTATATGTGTAATTGTTATATTATCACAGAAGTTATGAAAATATTATGTTACATCAGTCATTTTCTTATAAAAAAATATAACTTAAACCTTGCCTAAAAATCTTATTACACAAAAAAAGATTGTGGACATTATTAACAAAAAGTAATAACTGTGTCTGTGCTATTAGTATAAAAATTGTGGGACACAAATTATAGCCAAATATGTGTGTTTATTGTTTGTTTGTTTCTTTGTAATTAAGCACAAAGCTACACAATGGACTATCTGTGCTCAGCCCACCACGGGTATCGAAACCCAGATTCCATTGTAAGTCCGCAGAAATACCTCTGTGCCACTGGGGGGTGTGTGTTTATTACAGTGGGTTAAAGTTCTTTATATACTGTTATACTTTCTCTCCATAGACAAATTCAGTCTTTAGCCACAACATAATAGATTTAATGATACAACACATAAATCATTACCACAAGTTATGTAAGGAATATTTTTCTTGTTATAAAAATAATTTACTGCAGATTTTTTATTTTTCGACTTTTCTTTCTCTTAATTCATCCATGCAGCTCAAGACCAGAGATGTGTAAAAGAAATAGAATTTTATATCTAGATTTTGTTTTCCACAAGTCACTGCCAAATAAATTTTTTGTTCTGTAAGAGAACTCACCAGTTGAGCTGTACGATGAGAAACAAGATTCTATGAAATGTTGTTCATATATGGAGTTTGATATTTTTAAAGTTATGATTTAAACACCAAAAATCAGCAAAATATTTACAACCAATGAGCCTCAACATTTGTTTAAAAACAAGTTAACTGGATATGTTTATTTTTCTATATTACTCTTAATTTTTTCATTGTGGCTTGTCATCAAAAATGTATAAAAAATAGTATTCCAGATCTATCTTTTGTCTCCCACGAGTTACTGCTAAATAATCTTTTCATTCAGTGCTAGAACTCACCAACTGAACTAGATGATAAGGAACAGAAGATTCTATGAAATGCTGTGGTAGAATTAAGAGGAATGTAAAAAAAAGCATTGCAATTAATTTGTTTTTATAAGAATTTTTAGGCCTGTTGGTTTTCCAATATTTCATATGCTTTTGGCATTAAACCCATATCTTTTGTTTTATTTACTTTTGTAAAACATCATGATTGTGATTGCAATAGAAGAATTTTTTTTTTTTTTTTCACAGTCATTGATTCATACTGCCATAATGATACTCAGTGCCCTATTGGAAATATTTGTGACAATGGTAAATGTATTGGTAAGTATTCTTTAATTCATATTATAAAGAAATGTGTTATATTGCTCCTACAAAGCAGAGTACATTTGTCAAAACTGCTTCATATACATATATACAAAAAATTTTTCAACCATATTTTTTTTCAACTTAAAGTAACTTCACATAAAAAAAGGTCCTCCTAAAACTTCAAATTTGGAAAATGCTTAAAAGATTGAACTCAGTCAAAAAAAACTATCAGCACTGCAAATTGTGCATTGCTTCTAATTACCCAAGGTTAGAATTTGGGGAAACAAGTCATAGAAACTAATTATTTATATGTAGTTCAACAATCCTTGCAACCAGTTTGGAATAGTTAGTAGTTAGTAGACAGAAACTTGCTTATAAATAATCATTTATGATTTTAATATTTTTCATTGTATTGGATGTCTATCTTGCAATATTAGAGATTTTACTGTATATATATATTAACCCTTTCCAGACGGGTCACAGGTGACAGGCCATGTCATCACGTTTGTTGACTCACATTTAACATTTTATTGAACTACTATTTCATGAATTTATGTCAATAAGTTTGGTATCAAACTGTACATTATAATTCATATGTTGGATAGACAACATGCAAAAAGAAAAAAAAGGCATGAGAAAAACATTATTTTACAAACCTTAAGATCGAACAAAAAAAATTTATATTTTGTGTATGAAAGCATTGTAATGTTTACTAATAATCTGCCAAATTTCCTTAACATATGCTTACTAATTTAAAAGTTATAGCATGAAAACTATAACAAGCACAATATGGTTACAAGGTCGGTCCTGGGAATCGAGCCCATGCTGAAAGAGTTAAATCTATACAAGGAGTTATGTAAACTAGCAGAATTAACCAACATCACTACAGATCCTCAAGCATTAATTATTTAAATAACAGGTAAAAATTTTTAAGAGATTAAAAAACTTGCATGTAAAAGCTCAACCATATTGAATGTAAAATCCATATTGTCTTTTTACAGTAGGCTGTAGAAGTGATATACACTGTGCCTTTGAGGAAAGCTGCTTTAATAATCATTGTCAGAATCCGTGCACTATTTTTGGTGCTTGTGGTGAAAATGCTGTATGCAATCCATTCAACCATGATCGAATATGTTCTTGTCCATCTCAATTTACAGGAAACCCAAAGATTCAATGTGTGCGGAGTAAGTTTTGTCATTAGATTTGCTAACTTGTGAACTTTTAGAGGCAATTTAATTATTTTCTTATTCTTATATCTACATTGTTTGATTAATATACACTGTTTTAGATATAAAGATAGACATGTAGAAATAAATATAAAATATAAATTCTACTTGAGACAGCTTTGGGTACAACTTTTTCATATGTTTGTAGGTAGAGATGAATTTTGGTTGTTCCGTTAAATAAAACTTACTTACAAAGAAAAGTAATAGCTCCAAATAACTTAATCTAAAGTTGGTTGAATTCTAATGTCAAAAAAATTGAATTAAAAATATATTTAGTTTCAAAATGTTTTAAAAACTTTAAAATATGGAACTATTAAATTTACAAAGAGTTTGCATCATCATCTCAGATTATTCATCTCATTCTGCATAGTGCTGACTCATTAATAGATTAAGTGATTTAAATTACTTTCTCTACTCTTAGTCCCAGCTGTTGTTCGCTGTAGCAAAGACACTGATTGCCTTGCCAGTCAAATATGTGATGGAAGCAGATGTACAGGTAACATTCATTTTGTAAATCAAGAACTGTAGTGTACTTCCTAGATAAACAGTTCATTATTTTTGGTTTTTGTAATATATGTTATGCTTTTCCTTTTGTGTGCTCATACATTTACTTGTGGTTTATTTTAAGTAGAAAACTTTGCAATACCATCATTAGAAGAAGCATAAACTGGTGTTCTTTTATATTCAATTTCTGAATAGCTTCTTTTTTACATATCTTCCAGTTCAGTGGTTGTCTGTTTCACTGATATGTTACAAATGGCAATGAATAAATGATTTCTTTTATTATTGTGATCAATTGTACTTTTAAAATATTTGTTGTTGTTTTTTTTATTATAAACCAATTTATTATGTCTTTTCTCTCTTGCTATAGGAGTAAGCTGTATTTCAAAACAATAACAAAGCAGTTTCATTTTATTTAATCTAGTATTTTTTTGTTTTAAAACTTTAGTTTATATTTTTAATACTTAAGAAAATGTGATGTATGTAATATTTACTAAAATGATACTTCTCTGACCAGATGGATGTTACAGTGATAACAACTGCCCACAAAACCAAGCATGTATTCGTGGTAATTGTGCCAACCCATGTGGCCAGAGTGGAGTTTGTGGAAAGAAAGCCCTTTGTCTTCCTTTTGAGCACATTCCCTATTGTCAGTGCCCAAGTGGCTTCACTGGAGATCCAAAAGTTTTATGTAATGAAGGTAACGTACTTCCAAATAAAGGTATTGTTCCTAAAACTAATGAAGAAATCAAGATATTCTTTTTTTTCAACTTTATATGAATTAAGAAACCTTTAAATCCATGGTAATTGTTGCAGAATTTTGCTATGAGCAGATGAAACTTAACACTTTAATGTTCTGCAAAATAATTTTTAAAAATAATGTAACAAGTGATAATATTCTGTATTAGTAAAAAATAAAAAAATCTAATTACCATTTCCATCCTATTTTGCATTTTAATTTCAGCTTTTAAAGAGCTAAAAATTTGTTATTTGTTTGTGAATAATATTGTTATAAAACAGTGGAAGTCAAACGGGGGAAAAGCAATTTAACATTACTTAAACTAGTCATGCAGTAAGTCTACAGTAATATATTCACATTTTCTTTTCTTTACCCAGTGGGGCTTATATTAAATTGGTAATATTTTTTAACCTATTGTGTCTACAATTATTAATTTTCTCAAATTATTTTTCTATGTACAAGTTATTTATAAAAACAATGTACTTCTGAACTTGTATTTTTGTACCATTAGTAGTTGCTGGCGATCAGTGTAAAGAAGATGAAAACTGTGCTATTGGTTCAGTCTGTGTTCAGTCTCAATGTGTTGGTGAGTGACTTACAAAATAGCCTGTTTTATGTTTTTTAATAAATTCGTTGAAATTTTTTGTACAGTTGTTTTTCTTTCAGTGAATTATGTACATACGAACTTGATTAAAATATAATTGTAGAATACAACATTAATAAAGACGAAAATTAAGTTTTAAAAATCAAAAAGCCAAAGTTGTGTCTATATGCAACCAGTTCATAAATTTATCAAAGGTGCACACTACTCTGATTTTTTATTTAATTTTGTGCTGAATTTAACTGTAACAACACGAAAATGGAAGGAAGAATAAATTTACAAAGCTTTGTTTGTACAAATCTTTAGGTTAATACATTTTACTTTCTTATTATTCATTAATCTTGTTATGACCTATGAGCACCTTTCAGGTGTCAAGTGCATATTTTCATACCAGATTTCAAAATTTAAGCAACATTAAGAATTAAATTTTGGTTTAACAGTTTTTAACTAAAAAATATTTTAGAATTAATATATTTTCATCTTGTAACATGTTTTAGTGTAATTTGCCAAATATAATGGAAAGATGTTTCAACTTTCATTTCGGTGTATTTTCAAGGAGTTATACCTGTAAACAGTGTATTTATAATTGTTTTTAGAAAGTTTAGTCCATACCAAAGTATAGGTTTATATTTGCTAAGAAACAATCATTCCTTGAGAATATAATGATTCATGTCTTGTTTCTCACATAATTTTCCTTAATTTTCACCTTTTTATGAAGTCACAGCATGTGGTCAGAACAGTTATTAATGAAGTTCAGTTGCGAAAATAGCTATAGCCACCAATTAAATATCATTGGATAGAACAGGTTATCGATTACTTACATCAATTGAGAGTAAGTAAAGTGTTTGAGTAGTAATTTGTGGTTTCCTAAAATATATATTACTAAATACAGGTGAGCCCCCAGTGCCTCAGCATTAACAGTGGGGGCTTATAATGCCAAGAATTGGGTTTTGATACATAACATAACACAGACCACTGTGTAGATTTTTGCTTAAAAACAAAACAGTCAAACATGAATATAGCTGAAATTAAAAACTGTTTAGTAAATAAGTACTCAATCTCATGCAGTTTGGTTAAATATTTCCACTGTGAGAAGGAAAAATAATCATGGGACATAACATTCTAGTTCTCAGCCTTAGTTTGAAAATATGCATTTCAAAAATATATTCTCAATTAAAAAATGAAACCTTAACTAGCTAATCAAAAATTAAACCAATTAAGTTAAGTTCAACAATACAAAAAATACTCTTAAAATATGAATGTTATAATATATATAGCATTATTCATGTGTGTCACAGCACTAACTTAACCAAAGTATCTTATCAGTCTTTGCTGTTGTAGTCTTAAGCTATTACTTTTATAATGATTTATTCATTGTTGGAATAGGTACAGAGGATTAATCACAATTTATAAGCACATTTTTGTATGATAGTACAGTAACAAGCCATGGCACTATAGGCAACTCATTTAGCACCTGTATAATTGGTTCAACCAATTACCAGTGAAGTCTGCCAGGAATAGATTTAAAAAGCCTTTTTTGTAGAGATGTATATTTTCATAACTAAAATTGTTAAATGATGTAGCTCCAAAGGAGCTACAATTATTTTCATGAAAGTGGAAAAACTACAGTAGAGTGTTTAGAACAGCAAAGGCTTCAGAACTACATCAAAGACCAAACTGAATAAATATCCTCACTTCCAGAGTGAAAGCTATGGTTATGAAAGAGAATCCTCTGTTCAGAAAACTGTTGTGATGAAGATTAACATACTTTCTGCAACCATTAGCAAAATAATAAGCATGGAGTTAAAGTTGATGAAGGTTCTTGAACTTTCAGACACTGTCTGAAATCACTGATTGTTTTTATGAGAAAAATGGTCAAAAACAACTTGAATCCCAAGAGTCTATTTTGACCACATATATGAAGCCCACCAATATAGTTCCAATGGAGTTTTTCTTTTCTGTCAGAGTAAATATGGTCTTGGAAGCCAACATTCACAGACAATAGAGTATCTTTGAAAAAAGTTTCGAGGTGTATGGTCTAAGGTTGACCTCAGCATCTTTTACAGAAGCTTGTTGTAGAGGAAATTGCAATGACAAACAGTACTGTTTGAACATAGCAAACAGGTAAAGCATTCTTGATTTTGAAGAATGTAGTTCCAAAGGCAACAGGGCAACACTGGACCTGGAATATGGTTCTTATAAAATGAAACTACATTCAAACCTGTTAAAGTAGTGATAACATCCTATAATGTATAACATTAAAAACTAACCGTGAGTTTAAATGTGACATTATGTTACTAGAAACTACATGTCGCTTTTCTATATTGTGTGGATTATGCTTTAGTGACTATGCATCTTAATTGTTATTTCATATTAACTAATTATAATTAGTTTGTGAAAAAGATAGCTGTAGAGTTGTATTTTCTAGAATCATGTGACTTTTAACAAATTGAAAACATTAGAAATCTTATTTTCAACTTGTTAAAAATCAACTGTCTTCTATTAAGAAACTTAAAACAAATGATACTTTTATTTTCTTTTTACAATAATACAGTTATGGAATAATGCTCATGATTACAAGGATCATTACAAATTATAAGATCAATAAACTATAAGAAAATAAATTGGTCACATGGGTATTTCAGTCATTGTTTTCAACTCCCGGTGGTTATGTGTTAGTCACATAAGTTAGTAGGTTTTATAATGTGTGATAGTTCATACTTGAGTTTTAAATCACACACACATTTTTTCTTTGTTTGTTTATTACATTTTTTTTCTGCATTAGAGAAAAAAATATCCAAGATTTCCTAATTTTAAAATTTCAGTCAACAGCCTAGTGTAGCTATCAACACAAACTTATATAAATAAATGGAATGATAACACTTACAATAAATGTATGTTCCCAAAAGAATGGTAAATTAACTATTCTTATTCCTTTGAATATTACTCATGTATTAATTTTAATTTTTATTAAATAAAAGGAAATTTTTAAGCTTTTTTGGATATGTTTTCTCTTTAGTGGGATGCCGTACAAATAACAACTGTCCCTTTAATGAGGCTTGCATAAACACTATCTGTCAGAATCCCTGTTTGGTTGGTGGTGTTTGTGGTGTGAATACTTTGTGTCAAGCTCTGAATCATGAAGCTGTGTGCTCATGTTTACCAGGTTATACAGGATCTCCATCATCTGAATGCTCTGTAGGTAAGTATCAGTTTCTGATTTATAATTCACTTTTTGTTCTAGATAGATTACAATATTAATCTGCATATTGGTGCAGAACAGTATCATTCGAAAATGAAATCACAAGTTTCACACACTCTCATACTTTAATGGTGGAATAAGCATAGTCCATCATTCACGTCCCATTACCAAAAAAGAAATTGCACTCTCCACTTTTGGGACATGGGTGCATTATAAAAGTGACCATCAAATTCCATTATTCAGTCAGATGAGTAACTCAAGAACTGGTGATAGGGTGCTATTGACTTGTTGCCTTCCCTCTAGTCTATCTGTTCAAAACAGCTAACCCAGAATATCCAAAAACAAACATATTTTAATGAAATTTCAGATGAGAATGGACCTAATTGCTAGGTGAAGGCTTAAACATGAATTTAGGAAATTTTTTTATGAATGAACATGTTTGTAAAATTTAATTATTTAAATGCCTAATTTTGAAAATACCTGTGAACAACTTCTGTATAAAAACAGAAATTCGAAGTTCATTAACATTACATCGACTAAATTATGTAAAACACTTAGCAACCACTGAGGAAAACACCAATTAATATGCCCCCCAGTGGCACAGCAGACTTACAATGCTAGAAACTGAGTTTCAATACCTGTGATGGGCAGAGCACAGAGCCCTTTGTGTAGCTTTGTGCTTAACTACAAACAAACAAACCAGTTAATATTAAAATATTTGATAGGTTTTTCGTTATTAGTTAATTGATTCAATAACTGAAATGACTGCTTGTTAATTACAAAAAATTTATAGGTTATCAATTTATAGCCCAAAAATTAATATTTTTTTGATGGTTGAAAAGCTATGACAAAAAGATAGTAATATTTAGCTTGTTTGTTGTTGCACTATACTTTTATAGAAAATTGTTTTATCATTGATCATACTTAATTATATAAAATAGTTTATTTTGCATTGAGCAAAATTCTGAATTAATTACTTTTTAATGCTAGTTCTAGAACAAGAAATTATGAATCACTTTTTAAAATGTAAAACAAAACGTAAAATATATTAAATGCAATGTAATGTACTATTTTATTTGTTACATAGTAAATATCAGTATATAAGTATTTCTAAAATTACTGTATTACATTTTGTTTATAGCTCAGCCTGTTTGTGAAATGGACAGTGATTGTGGAATTGGCTATGTTTGTGTACATCAAAACTGTAAAGGTGAACTCTCCTAATCTGTAATTTTTCAAGTTTGTTGTGATATAAAAATCTGTTTAGTTT